GGCGGCGCACGCAGAATGATTCTGGGGCTCAGAGATTCCTGCAGGACTCGTGACCTACTCCTGCGGGATCCTGTGGGTTCGGGGGGAAGCCCTGGGATGTCTGCGGCACCTGGAAGAACCCACGAGGATCCTGAAACATCCGTCGGAACCCCTCCTGCCCCCAAAGAATCGGGAGGGATCCCCGGGAATCCTTACGAACCCCCGGAATCATTCGGAGTCCAGGGGCGTCCTTGGGATTATTTTTGCATCTTGTGGAATTCCGAACGGATTCCCACAAATACTTGGGCTTGCTACGGTCGAGCGAGAATTTCCACGGTCGAACTAAAAGTGCATCTGTTGTGCGCTTAGCAAAAGTCACGGTCGAGGTGGCGAACCGTCAACGACCGGTCGGATCGCAATTCCAACTGGGAAGCTACGTTCATTGTATCTCGAAACGTGGACGGCTGAAACGTTCCAAATAAAAAACGCAATCGCTTCTGGCCGATCGCAACTGGCTGTAATCGGTCCGAATTGTATCCTGAAAGGTCAAGCGTAGTTGCGTTACTTCAGGAATCCTCCAGGAATCCTCCAGGAATCCTTCGGGAATCCCTCAGGGATCCCCCAATAATCTTTCAAGACACCTTCAGGAATCCCTAATCATCTTCAGGAAGCCTCGAGAATCCCTTCAGGAATCTTTGAGGAATCCTTCAGGAGCCCGTAAGAATCCTTGAGGCAGTCGCAGGGCCCGTTCAATCATCCTTCAGGAGCCCGTAAACATCCTTCAGGAATTCGCAATAACCGTGTGGAGCCCGCAACTATCTTTCAAATATCCCTCAGGAATCGGATCCTTCGGGCATTATTAGAAACTCATTCAGGAATCCTTCACAGATCCAGCAAGAACCTGAAACAAATAATCGTTTAAGACTCTCTCAGCAATCCCTCAGGACTCCTTCGGGAATCCATAATTCTTCAAGAATCCTTGAGGAATCCTTCAAACATTCTTCAGGAATCAGAAATCCGGAATCCTTCAAGAATCTTGCAAATAATCCTTTCAGAATCCTTCCGAAACCCTTAGAAATGCTTTATGGGAGTCCCGGAGAAATCCGTCAGGACTCCTTCAGGAATCTGGGGAAATCCTTTAGAATTCCGCAAGGAGCCTTGAGGAATCCTCGAGAATCCTTCAAGCCATGGGACGCTGAAGCAAATTTCCCTGGTTGTAATCTGGCGTTTGTCTTGTAGTGTAGGATTGCAGCAGGACTCGTACACGTTGCGATGGACGAGTCTGTTTCCAACGGTTGCATACAATTCGGATTGGTCCCTGAACTGTCCGAAATGTTTGGGCTCGGTCCTATTATCCCCCCCTTGCCTTGGGCCTGTTCCCCCAACGCGTTAGCCAAAAGGACATCGAGCAATGTTTCCATCTCTCAGGGCCCCTTTTCTGCAGCCCTCGCTGCCCGCCCCCCATTTATCGCCCCCGCATGACGCGACGCCCAACATCCGCCTCCTCTCCTCCGTCCCGGCCAACGCCATCTTCCGGACGACGCACTGTGCGACCAGGAGCCCTCACCCAGAGACGCGAGCTCGATAATCCGTCTTGTCGCATACGAACGGACCCCCCGATTACTTGTCCTCCTCCCTCCCCCCCTCCTCCTGCCCATTTCCCCACACTCCCCCCTTCTCCTGCGCTCCCGGCCAAGGGGGCGCAGGGGGCGGCCCAAGGGGGGGTTTTGACCTCCCCCCCCCAGGGGAGGTCCCGGGGTGTCCGGGGGGTGGGGCCCCGGGTCCGATGACCATCCCCCCCGGAGGTTCCCAGAGGGTGCCCCCCGTGTGTGGGCGCCGCTCCTCCCTCCCGGTCTCGGCTGTCCTCTGCCGGCGCGCCCGCCGAGGGGACACTGAGGAACGTCATCGCTGAGTGGAAGGGGAGCCCCCTTGGATCCCTTCCCCGCCAAGGGGGTCGTCGTTCCCTCGGCTTTCCTCCAGCGCGCTAGCCAAAGGGACATTGGGCAACGTCATCGTTGAGTCCAAGGGAAGGAAGCTTCTTCCCCTTGATCCCTTCCCCGCCAACGGGGTCGTCGTCGTCGTCGCTGTCGTCGTCGTCATCGTCGTTGTCGTCGTCCTCCTCCTCCTCTTTGATGCCTCCCGAGCCGCCCAATTGCATGGCTTTAGTTTCCCTGAGGCGCTCGTGGAATGGAAGTGACCCAACGCCGGCGTGAGGGAGTTGACACTGCTTGTGAGCAGGAGGAGGAGGCCAACATTGGGTGAGGACCTCCGTCGTGGCCAACGTGCATGGGCTAACGGACGGCCCGCATCATCAGGACCCTCAAGACCTCCCTCTCTGCCTCCCTCCCTCCCCCGCCCCTTCCCTCCATCTTCCTGCGTCCAAACGTACAAGGTGGGCGGCACCAGCCGTAAATCCTCCACAATACAGCGCCGCTGTTGCCGAACCCTTCTCCAAAACGCCCCGACTGCAACCTACCACGTCAACCCGTGTATGGAAGCCTCTTTTCAACTAGCCCACATCAACCACCCGCTGTTGAACCAGACGGCTAATGATCAGAACAAGCGTTACGTCAGCTCTGCGCCGACTGGGCATCAGGGGCAGAAGATACACATTGGCATTGTTGCGAGCTCGCACCCATTGCGCGCGTGGAAAGTCTGCCAACTCATTCCAATAGAGTGTGTCACAACATGTAAGGCAATCCTGCAGTAGTTCCCATCATCGGTATCGTTAATATACCATAGATAACTGTTTTCGCACGTGTGGATGTGCATTTGGGGGACGACCTGTAACCACACTTAGCACTAAACTCAACACTCGCTTTCTCACCGCCCATGCACATTAACTGCCTGCTGTGTTGCTGGTGCCTACGCCCGTGGTTCGGTTCCCCCAAGGGGAACGGAAACAATGCGTTCACCTCGCCCCAGACTGCGGGTTTGATCCCGTTCGCTGGCAATCCACCAAAAGAAAACTCAAGTCAATGGATTTCCGGGGCTTCCTGCATGCATTGCACGCCTGCCCTCTCCTTGTCTCTCCCATTTTCTCTATTCCTCTCTGTTGTATATCTTCATCCTCCAATCAGTGCTTGCACTTAAAGGATTTGACTTCTGGAATACGGAGCTGGGCCTGTGCGTCGGTCTGGCGGCTAGGTGGTCGCCATCACCGTCCCGTCGTCGCCTCGTCTCCGCACATCGTCTGGGCCTGTGCGTCGGTCTGGCAGCTGCGGTCGCTGGCGCCGTCCCGTCGCCGCCTCGTCGCTGGTCGCCGTTGCCGCCACGTCCCCCGCCGCCGCCTCGTCGCCGCCGCGCTTTGCAGACATTACATTGCATTGCGTTGCGCAACATAGATTGCACCATGGAGATTGCATAGATGGCTTCGCATCTACGGTGCTACAGATACAGCGCGACATATATTGCACCAATCTATTCCCACACGTAGGTTGCACAGCACTTATTGCTGTAACCATACTGTTTGGGGCCCACGTTGACTAATCTATAACTTAACATTATCTCCGTTGACTTGATGTGCCCTCGCACCTTGTTCTGTACTCTGTTGCCCCAGGCCTGTTCTCTCCTAATTTTGCCAATCTTTTGAATATCTAATATGTGTCTGTGTCTCTCTCTCTCTCTCGTTTCCTTGCCTCTCTCCTGGTCTCTCTTTCTCTGAATATAAGTCTTTTCATGTATATGTTATTTCTTTCTTCCAACTTATAAATATATACAAACATATATACATATATATATATATATATAGATACATGTTGAAATACATCACCAGAGAAAAACAATCCAATCAGTGGATGGTCTGGAGAGATTAGCGATCTGGATATTGAGATCGATTGTGAGATCGATCATGAGATCGATTATGTGATCAATAGTGAGGACGATTGTAAGGTCGATCGTGAGACCGATGGTGAAGTCGATTCAATGTCGGTAGCGGCAAAGAGGGGGGGAGGTATTATGGCTCGAGGCAAGTGCTGCGCACAGCTCGCAGGGCTACGCACGCGCGAACGCAATCGGATATCATAGAAACCCGCTGACCGCCAGAATCATCGGTTCAGAACCAAAGCCAGCCAACCAGTGAAGCCCGCTGACCGTCAGAATCACCGGTTCAGAAATGAGACCGATGGTGAGATCGATCGTGAGATCGCTCGTGCGATCTGTAGTGAGATCGATACTGGGATCGATCGTTAGCTCGATTGTGAGATCCTTAGAGAGGTGGGTCATGAGATCGATGGTGAGACCGATCGATCAGGAGATCGACTAAGAGCCCGGGGACCCCGCCGCCCGCCGAAATCGGCCTGGGGCCCGCAGCCAGGAACCGGGAAGCCCAGCACTGGTAACCTGGGAGCTCCGCCGCCAACCGACATCGGCCTGGCACTTCCGCCAAATCCTTCCATCTCTGCTGGGACCCACTCGGTGCAAGCATTGACTGGGGAATCTGCACACTCAACTCCGCCCTATGCTCTCTGGCACGTACTTCGATGAATTACCCTCTCAGCCTGACCTCCCCAGCCAACTTACAGTATGATGGTCGCAAATACTCTCTCTCTCTCTCTCTGTACCTCTTTCTCTAATCCCTCTGGTCAACTCTGTACGCGACTCTCTGACTCCCCACCACACCAAAAACCTGGGAACCCAACGCTGTCGGGAACCCCGGAAGCGTGAACCTGGTAGAACTTACACTGCCGGGAACCTTGGAACTAGGAACCCAACCCCTACCGAAATCGGCCGGAACCCGGAACCTGGAACCTGGGAGCCCGGAACTTGGAACCCGGGCACCCGACCGCCTACCGAAATCGGCCCGGGACTTTCGCCAAATTCTTCAATATCCGCGAGGACCCCTTCAGTGATGGAACAAACAATGGTTGGGGAATGGTAGTCGCGAAACCTTCCGCACCCAAGAGAATTTCCACGTATATTTCACGTTTATACTTGGGCTATACATGACGGCGCAAACACATCCAAACGTATCCTAGCCGAACAACTTTCGGAGCATATTCGTCCAATGCCCAATGGTAATGCACGTCGCGTGGTCTTGCCTCCATGGCTGGATTCGTGGAGAACCCACATGTCAGCATCGGCGGTCCGTGATCGCCATCACCGAAATGTTTCTTCTTTTCCGTGGCAACCGTATCGAACCACGAACCGATGGCCAAACATTTTCTTCAAACTGGGGAGCGGTGAAACAACGGTGAAAAATACGGCCCGCCACCCGGATGCCACAGGAGGACCATATAGGGCATTCTCGAAAAAGGGCCAAGAGGCTGTGGTGGCCTGGGGTTGCTGCATGTGCTAAATGAAGGGTGATTGCTGGGGCGCTGCAACCAATAATCGAGCCACTGCGACGAGGTGCGGCCTGGGAGACGAACTACGGATGAACAACTGAAAGCTAACGCCTCAGAGGTGACGTGGCGGCGACCAGACGATCACCGAGTTGGAGCCACCTGCCGAGGTCCGACCAAAGGTAGCCTGAACACTGCCCACCGCCCGCTGATCACCCTCGCAAAAGGTAACTGCAACTGGCCCTCGGCAACAAACGGCTCCCCGTGAGAAACACTCGGCGCCAATGTGCATCACTCGCTCCTGCGGCTGAAGCCCGGGATGCGGAAACTCAGCCTCCCCGACAGGGGCTCCCGGCTGGCTGCGGGGGACGCGTCCCATCCGGCGAGCTTGTCCGCACCGAGGACGCGGAGGCCTAGCTTGAGCTGCCCGGTGCACCTCGTGCCGCTGGTCGGCTCCAGGGGGAACCAACCGACCATGTCGCCCTGGCGGTCGATGGAGGAGTCGGTGATGCGGAAGCTGCTGACGGGTAGCAGTACCTGACCGAAGACACCCCCGCCGCTGCTGTCGATGCAGGAGATGCGCAGCGTGCACCTCTCTATCGACGTCACTGGGCCCAAGTAGAAATGCTCGTCCCACTTCGGGAACTTCGTCCACAGCCGGACGGCCGAGTCGGCGCGCGCGAGCGAGACAATCCTGGCCGAGGACGCCAGCAGGTCGTCCAGTTGCCTGGAGGCGCACCCGCGACGCAGCGTGGGAGCTGCACCGCTGTTCAGCTCCAAATGCGCGGACACGTTGACGCGCTTACCGTTCACGGTCATGTTTCGACCTTTGATCAGATGCACGTGGATCCTACAAGCGTCCTGCAGCTCGGCGGCATCCTCGTGATGAGGAGACAGAACTTCGCTGGTGTAGTGAGCCGCGTTGTACGCCAGCTCGATCGCCCCGGCGCCGAGGCGCCTGGTCACGTCCTGGATGCCGACGCCTGCTGCGAACAAGGCGTTCTTCAGCAGGCGGGAGGGGGCACTGACGACGGCCAGCGGCACAACTTCTGCGATCAGCACCCACACCAGCTCGCCGAGGTACACCCCGTGGACACCGTCGCCAGGCCACCCTATCTCCTCCAGGCCCGCGCCAGCTCGCCGCGGGTCGCCCCTCTCCAGCCGCTCCCTCTCCACCAGCAGGTACGGCAGCTGTATCTTGGAGTCCAGCGTGGCCGCAGACCTGCAGGCGGCCCCAGCATCGGGTCGATGCATCGAATCGGATCGGCGCGAACATCGAATCGGTAATCATCAACAAACGTTGGCTGCACCATCGAATCGGCAAGAATCGGCACACGTGGACCCGATCGGATCGGAAGCCAGCTCGCGTAGAGCCGGATCGGAATCGAGATCGGGATGCAAGGGAGGTGCAGGAGGTGATTCGCCCGAATTATGTTGTCGCGCGTCGTCGTCGTCGTCGTAGTCGTCGTGCACGACGTCGTCGTCGTCGTCGTCGTCGTCGTCGTCGTCGTCGTCGTCGTCGTCGTACACATCGTCGTTCGCGGCGTCGCACGCGACGTCGACGCCGATTGTCGTCGGCGGCGGGCCCCAAGGGGCCCCTAGCGGCCCCTGGGAACCCTTGGGGGCGTCTAGCCCTTGGAGACCTCTGGGGGCCCGAAGGGGTCCCGAGGGTTCCCCAGGGGTCCCAGGGGGGTCCCAGGGGTCCAGGGCCCCAAAGCTGCCAAATATTCTCTAGGGGTCTAGGGACCCAGGGGTCTAGGGGTCCCGGGGTCTGCGGTCGCAGGTTTCCCAAAAAATGCCTCTTAGAGCCCCAGGCCCGACCCTTCGGAGCCTCCAGAGCCCCCTGAGGGCCCCAGGCCCGACCCCCAGGGCCCCCCAGGAGCCCCCAGGGCCCCAGGTGGATCCCAGGCCCGACCCCTGGGGGCCAGCAGGGGCCTGCCTCTACAACGCCCAGGCCCGACCCCTGGGGGCGGGCGGCCCCCATTGGGCCCCTGGGGGTCCCAGACCCGACCCTTTATGGACCCTGGTGGCTTGTAGGGATCCCAGGCCCCGTTCCGAGGTGCCTCAGGCCCGACCCCTAGGTGCCCTTCCAGCCTCGGAGAAGTTGCCCCCCAACGCCGCCACACACGCCCATGCCGGTTCATGACATCTTGGGAATGTGCACGCCCATGCCGCCGCTTTTTTCGGAGCGCAGTCGTGCTACATGTGGACCATCATGCGTATTCATGACACCGTGCCGTGATTTTGGTTTGTACACGCCCACCACGACGTCTGGCAATTATCCATTCTCTGTCGACGGAAACGTGACACATCACACTGTGTTGAGACCGCATGGCGCCCACAACGGATTTACTCAACCGTGCGTACTTTCGCGGATTTTTCGTATCGTCGCCCACGCCCATGACCAGGCCAATTGCGATTATGTCTCTTGTGGGGTATTTTTGCTGGGGCGATGCGCGGGCGCCGCGCTTCCGCGCCCAACTCTGCGGGTGCCGCGGTGCGTGCGTGGCGGAGCGTGGTGTATGTTGACTGTCTCATTGCATCCCTTCGAGCACAAGCGGGTCTGGGAGCGAGGGGGAGGGAGAGGGGGGGGAGGAGGAGACAGGGGAGAAAGAACCAAAGACATCGGGGTGACGACGGCGATCAAGTAATGAACTGTCTCTGGGCGGCATTTCGGCTTGCTTGGGTGTGGAGGGGGTTCGTGGTATCTGCCTCTGCGAAGCGGAGAGCTGGCGGCAGAGATCCCCAGATGGCTTTCCGGTATTCGACTGTTGTTTGCTCCGCCCAATTCGCCCGGGGGCGGCCTACTCTCCTGCGTGCCCACTGTCTGGATTGCAGTGTGACCAGGTCGAATGTTACCCCCTGCGCAGGACGGGAGGCTTCGGCTCAGACAATGCTTTGGTTTGTGTTCGATTCCTCCCTGTCGGGGCGCGTTGTCGGCCGCTTTGCAGACTCTTTCGTTCGTGTTGGCTCTGTTGACGTATGATGTTTGGAGTTTCGAGATTTTGCGGAGTCCTTTGAGCTGGGCTGATTCCAATCGGTACAGGATTAGATTTGATGACTGCGTCTTGTACTTGCAGCTTGAATCTGGCGAGGCAACTGCTATGTCTCCAGAACAAGTCCGTGCTCTTCAGACTTGCCATGCGTTCTCCGATTCGTGCCTGTACTTACCGCGTGCTGTCGCATTCTTCGTTCAGGCGGCATCCCAGGTCTTTGACTTCGTCCATGCGTATAATCCTGGTGTCATCAGCAACATGTATGTTGGGATGGCCGTGGGCTGGGACTACCTCCCAGTTCCCTCTGTTCCGTTTCATTCCATATCTTGCTCCTTCGTGCTCGATTGCAGCCAGTATCTTGTTCAGTAACCTGGTGTCTTTGGAGACGACAGTCGTGTCACCGGCGTAAGCAATTTCATCAAAATTCGCCCCCTGTGCCCTGTGCCCCGCTATAGGATTGTTAAGGGCTTGGTGGACATCGTGGAACATGACAATCATGGATACCGATAACAAGTATGGCGATAGAGGGCATCCCTGTCGGAATGCCCCCTAACTTATCACCACCGCAAAGTGAGACGACGGCTCGAACGAAACAGAGCTGAAACCATGCCAAACCAGGCCCACACCAGGCAGCTCGTGAGGACGTTTCAAATGAAACCGGGCCCAGCCCAGGCCAAAACAATGCCAAACCAGGCAGATTGTGAGGACGGCTCAGGCGAACCTGGACCCACACCATGCCAAACCAGGGACACATCAGACAAATTGTGACGACGTCTCAAGAGAAAACCGGGGGCGCCCAGTCAAACCAGGCCAAACGAGGGGCCAAACCAGATTGGTTCTGAGGACGTCCCAAGAAGAATCGCCCAAACCAGGCTCCATCCACTCTACTCTCGTTGACAAGACTCTACATAACAGACAGAGTGGACCACGCCCCAGCCCCCCCCCTCCCGCAAGCGGAAACCCGCTCAAAACTTTCTGGGGGGAAGCCTTGGACCGCGCGCACGCCGATGCGGCCGGGGGTGGGCGCAGCAGCCTCTGTTTGTCCTTCCGGATGTCGCTGGGGCCCTGGTGTGGCGCTGGGAGAGATATGCTCGAGCTTGCTGTGGCTCCGGGCCAGACCCCTGTAGAAGGACGCCTCGGGGCCCCTATATGGGGTCCCGAGGCCTGGCCCTCGGGCGGGCCCCCTGGGCTCCCCGGGGGTCCCCAGGGGGTCACAGGCCCGACCTCCTGGAGGGGGCCCCCAGGCCCGACACCCAGGTCAGGGGGACGTAAGACCCGGGTACAGGGGACTCGGAAATCCCCGACGAGGTCGTCAAAAAATGACGAGGCCGAGCCTGCATTTTGACGAGGCCTCCCGCTGCAGAAATCCCAGGAAACTCCTCCTCGTCAAAATCCGAGGCGCGGTCGTCAAGAAACGATGGCGAACCCGAGTCCTGGCAAACCCGGGTCTTACGCTCCCCCGACCAGGGGCCCCTGAGGGCGGAGGAGGCACGGCGCCTTCGGAAGCCTGCGGGTGCGGCGCTGGGCCTTGGACCGAGGCGGCCGCGGCCACGGCAAGACACTGCGCTCAACGGCACTCGGGAAGGTTCGGGCTGACGATCGGGCCCCGTCGGGGCCTGGACATGCAACCGCATGGAACACAGTGCGGCCTAAAACATACATCCGGAGCGAAGCCGGATCGGCCATAATCGGCAGAAGTCAGCTCACACATCGAATCGGCAGGAGTCGGATCGGGCGAAATCGAAATCGGAATCGCGAGTCGTAATCTCCACATCGAATCGGTTCGAATCGGCAGCCGGGGAACTCGAATCGAATCGGGCCGGCGGAGTCGGAGGGACCCCTGGACCTGTGGGCGTCCACGGTGAGGAGGTCCAGGATCCACAGCTCCACGTTCTCGGCGACCAGCTTCCTGATGTCGAAGCGGACAGGCACGCCCCAGCGCGGGCGGCGCCGCTTGTCGCCGATGGCGAACTCCACGTACTCGCCAGAGTGCGCCTCGGGCTCCTCAGGACCGGGGCCGCCGCCGCCGGCCTCGACCGCGCCGCTGCAGGTGGCTGCGCCGCCTCCCGCGCTTGGCGCGTATCCGGCGGGGAGCAGCGCGCGCAGTCCGTCGAGGCAGCCGCCCGGCGGGCCGGCCTGCCGGCGACTCCCGACGGAGCCTCCGGCGAGGCCCCCTGGCGGGGAGCTGCCGTTCTGGCCGAGCTCCCCGCCGCGAAACCACTGCGGCTTCCAGAACCGCGCCGCCTTCCTGGTGGCCTTCGTGGCTATGGCCGGCAGTGGCTTCAGAGAAGTGCTGGTCTCCTTCGGAGCGCCAGGGCCGTCTTGCTGGACGTGATTCATGCCCCCGAGCCTGCGCGACTTCTCCAGGATGGCGGAGACATTGACGTCGTCGTCGGGGAGGTCCAGGGCAGCCCACAAGTTCAGCTCTGCCTCGCGGTTGCGGACTGTTCTGAACCGCAGCCCCTCGATATGCAGCTTGTCGACACATATAGCCTTCTTGCGCCTGACGGCGGCGAGCACGGAGCCTAGCTCGAGTCGGAGGGTCAATCGGTCTATCTGGAGGATGTAATCCGTGGCCGAATCCCACTCGGAGCCCCTGTCCCGGCAGGCTCCGTGGCGAAACCCCGGCGGGTTGTGCCAGGTCCAGCCGACAACGCAGATCTCGCTCCAGCAACCGGGGTCCCAAGACAGGCTTGGCCATACCCTGATGCGGTCGATCGTCCACCAGAACCTCTTCGGCGTCTTACCGATGCCCCACCCTGCTAGCATGCCGAGCCCCCGCTCGAACAGCAGGGTGGCGGCCCACAAGAACGAACACGCCGCGACCAGCGCCCCCACAGGGCGCCACCGCGAGCTCAGCTGCACCGCGGCCGCCGCCGCTGCCAGTGCGGTCCCCGCGGGCCGCCAGAACAAGACGCTCCCCATGCCCATGCTGTCGGACGCGGCCTCACCGACACCTCGCAAAGCATCACCTTCCGTGACGTCACCCTCGCCTTCCAAGCTCCCCTCAAGCCGCAAACATACGCCTGTTGGCGAGGCGAAGGGCACGCCTCGGAAGGGGATGGTTTGCTAGGGGTCGGCCAGGCCGCATCTGATGCTTCCGCCCAAGCAGGATAAGAAGAAGCCGAACAATAGCAATACTATGTAAATAATACGAGCATTCGTAATAACACTGATAGCAATAATAATGATCCTAAGAAGAATCAAATGAATCCCACCAATCCTCTGGGCGCAGGTGTTCTAGACCGTTTCCTTTTCCGGGTCCTCCCTCCCCCTACTTGGCGAGGTGTATCCCCTCCCCCCCGCCCAGGGCCTGGACGGGGGTGGGCCCCGGGGGGGTGGAGCGTCCATGATGGCCCAAGATGGCTTCCAGAACGCCTCCGAGAGCCCAAGATGGCCTCCACGATGACTTCAGATAGCCGAACATGGTTCGAGATAGCGCTCGCCATACCTCCAAGAGGCCCACAGACGGGCTCAAGGCGGTCTCAAGTGCTCTCCGAACTCTCAAAGGTTCCCCTCAAGATGACACAGTCCTTCAAACACGTAGGGAAGACCAGAGTTGTTTGCATTCTCGCTTTTTCGCCTGCGAGGAGCTCCTAAGGACTCAAGATGGCCCCAAGATGGCCCAAGAGGGGGTTCTCAGGTCGCTGAGGGGGGGGGCCCTCATCCCACTTGCCCTTTTTTAAGCAATGGGGCCCGATATGGCCCTGCGAAGGCGCCACGATCCCCCACATCCCCCAACACGAGCCTCAAGAGGACCCTAAGAGGGCCAAAACAGCTTCTAAACATGTTCCACGATGGCTTCAGGAGGTCTCCAAGAGACCTCCAAAAACCTCGAGGAGCGAAAGATCCACGAGAACTTTATCTGGTTCATCTCGGGGCGTTGGGGGCCTCTGGCGCCTGTCGCCGGACAGCTTGGACAGCTTCGGCGGGGGCCGTATCCCTCCTCCCGCAAACTCCTTCTTCTCCTCCGCCCTTCCTCATTCGACTGGGCCGCGATGGCACGAGCACTTTCGTCCTGAGTCTGCTCAGGCTGATCCAAAGCTTCTGATGGTTTCCTAAGCCCTCCATTCCACCGCAGGCTTCCCCACTTCCCTGATCGAGGCGACTCGAATGGACATGGGCTCAGGATGGGCTGGTGACGCTCTTATTCGTAATGCCAGCAACGCGCACAACAATAATACAAATAATAACAGCATAAGTAAGAATGCGACTACACGTCGGTCGGAAGAAGTAGGTAGAAACATGAAGTAGGAAGCCGGATATAGCGGATTGGGCCCAGGTCCTCCCATAGAATGACAAAACGCAGCAAAAGCATGCCGATTCTTGACACAGGGAGGCGCTTGACGCAGCTTGGGAGCTGGGAGCCCGAGGATACCTGCTTTCGACGACCGGCGTGCAATTTTACGAATCATGAGAATACGAGGCGCGGGTGCGAGGAGGCTGCCCCCTGCGCCTCGTTTTTGTCGCCCGTTCTCTTGGGGGCCCCCCCCCGGCAGGCTTTCGTCGCCACGGGGGGGGGCTTCGCCGCCGAATTCTGGCCCGCCTGCGCGCCCGAGGAGGAGGAGGAGGAGGGGGAGGAGAAGGAGGAGGAGCAGGAGGAGGAGGGGGAGGAGAAGGAGGAGGAGGAGGAGGAGGAGGAGGAGGAGGAGGAGGAGGAGGATGCGAGGCGCGGGCGCGAGGAGGAGGAGGAGGGGGAGGAGGAGGAGGAGGAGGAGGAGGAGGAGGAGGAGGAGGAGGAGGAGGAGGAGGAGGGAAGGAGGAGGAGCAGCAGGAGGAGGAGGGGCGGGGGGGCGCCGCGCGCGGAGATGCCGCGGGCGCGGGCGGCCAGGTCTCGGCCGCTCCCCGGGCTTGGCGCCCCGGCGCCGCTGCCGCCCTCGAGAGCGCCGGCGCCTCGAGCCGGGGCGGCCGTGGAGCCGGTGCTCGAGTCGGCGGCTGGCGAAGGGGGGAGGCGGAGGAGGAGGAGGAGGAGGAGGAGGAGGAGGAGGAGGAGGAGGAGGAGGAGGAGGAGGAGGAGGTGGAGGAGGAGGAGGTGGATTGGGAGGGAGATGAGGAGGAGGAAGGGGCCTTCTCAGAAGGCGGCGGGGCTTCTCAGAAGCCCTCGCGCCTGCCGAGAAGCTGCTGCTGTGTCGCCGGGGAAGGCTCAGAGACCTTCTCAGAGGGCCGGGGGGCTTCCGAACCTTGTGGGGAGGCCTTCTCCTTCTCACTTCCCCCCTCGCTCGCCGCCGATCCAGGAGGGCGCGGACGAGGACGATGGGAGAAAAGGCAACACATAATTACAGTCGGACCGAGGTGTACATAAGATCGGGGTCGGTTCGGGGAGGGTGCCCTAATGCTTTTCGTGTTTGTTGGGTGCTCTTTTGCAACCTGGGGGAGGACGCCCTCGACTTTTCTTCAGGTTGGGCCGGTGGAGGGCTTCGTGTTCTTGCAAGATCTTCTCCTGTCCCAGGTGCGACCGCACCCGAGGCGTACCCCAGCCCCTCCTCCTCGGGAGCCGATCGTTGATGCTCCATACCACAAAAACGCATCGACGGATATGCACGTTCTGCGCTGCCCTCGTTTCGGCTGCGCCTTCCAGGTGCCCACGAAAACGGCGTCAATTGCTCAGTTCGTGTCCTCCCCGGGAGCCGCGAAGTCTCGGCAGGATCTGCGTGACCCCCGACTGCGCTGGACCTCCCGGGAGCCCGCGGAGGTGGCGACTGTTGCGCAATTCGCGACCACCCCATGAACTGCAAGGTCTCGGGCAAATAGCGCGCAAATTCTTACACGCGCGGCAACAACCGAACAAACTCACTATAACGACGGCGCGGTTTATTGCACACGATTGCCCGCGCGACTGCTCGTCGGCCTTCGCCGTGACCAGACCGCCGTGCCTCCCAGGAGCCCACGAAAGGGGCGCCTGGTGCGCAAGTCGCAGCCTCCCACGGAGCTGCGAGGTCTCGGGAGCACTCCCGTCCCCGCCGCGCCTCCCAGGAGCCTACGACAAGTAGCGACAGCTGCGCAGCCCGCCACCTCGCAGCGCCCTCTGGGGTCCCACGAGAGTGGCGACCGATGCGCAAGTCGCGACCTCCCGCGGAACTGCGAGGTCTCGGGAACTTCCCTTCTCGAAAACGGCGACGCTTGCGCGAATCGCAGCCTCGCAACATGCTGCGAGGTCTCGGGTGCTCCCCTACTCCGCCGTGCCCCCCATGAGCCCACGAAAATGACGACAATTGCGGAGTTCGCAACCTCACAAAGAGCTACGCGGTCTCGGGTACTTCCCTACTCCGCCGTGCCTCCTAAGAAGCAACGAAGGTGGCAACAATTGCGCATCTCGCAACCACCCAACGAGCTGGGACATCTCGGGTACTCGCCGACTCTGCCGTGTCTCCCAGGGGCCCACGAAAGGGGCGACAATGGCGCAACGCACAACCACCCAAGCAACTGCGGGGTTTCGGGTACTCCCCGACTCCGCCGTGCCTCCCAGGAGACCACGGAAGTGGCGAAGGTTGCGCAGGTCGCAGCCGCCACAGGAGCAGCGCAGGAGGAGGCAAGGGGAGGAGGCAGGAGGAGGAGGGAGGGGAGAAGGAGAAGGTGGGCGACCGCAGCGTTCTATCCAAAGCAAGAACCCAACACAAGAGGATTGAGAAGAAAACAACCATCCATACAAAACGGCCAGGTCTGCATACTGACGCACAAGTTGTCGCAATGCCACGTGTCCAATGTCTTGGGGCCCCAATGCGTACCTCCCGACGGCGTTTCGTGAGGCGAGTCCGAGAATCCCCAGCCACCGCCGTTGTAGGCCGAAGGCGACTCCAGGCCGTATACGCAGAGTTGAGTGTCCTTGTATGTAGATTGCATGCAGATTGACGTGCGGGATTTTGCCCTGGTGGAGCCCGTCCAACCGGGCGTGTGTGGTCTGGGGATCTCCCTTTTTGGTATTGGTTGTCTCCTTCAGGGGGATGCGCCCTTCTTTGGGATGCTCCCCTGTATTCGGATTGCCTCCCCGCGGCCCCTAGCAACGTCCAAGATCAGTCTCGTATATCTCGAGACGGGCCACGATGCGGCAACACCAAATACAGTATGGAACCAACGATTTCGATTCTACCCATGGCTTCCCTATGAGAGACAACGGTTTCGGTATCTACCCAAAATGATTTCCGTATTTCCGTATCCAATTAAGTCAGACTCGGAATCAGCCAACAACGATTCTGGCATTACCAAATTAGTGGTAGGTTGCGATATTCACCAAGGTCGACTTCAAAATGTCGTACAGTCAACCCGTATAGTGAGGACAAGCGATTCGGATGCAAGGGCCCTGGAAGGCCATGCCGACACTTTAAGAGCGGAGCGCGGCCAGCGATAGCGCCAACGGATGGGCCGAAGGGGAAGGATGCAAGGGTAACTTGCTCATGCTTACCATGCGGGTTGACTGTAACATCCATCCTGGTAGATCAATCGGACTTCGTTTTCGATGACAAATCGCCCAAGAGAGCTCCAATATTGGCCCGGAAGGGCTGCACGACTGGCCCAACAGCGTTCTAAGAGGGCTGCATGAGGGTATGCCTCGGACTCTGACGGGGTCGCGAATATCAAACTCACCCTTTCTTACCTACTTTCTCCACGGTGCTAGTCCGAAATTGTCCCCCGAGCCCCCCTCCGAGGGCCCCCAGATGGCCTCATAAGCTCGCGACGCGGGAGCTCCGAGATTGCTCCAATAGGCTCCCAGAAATGTGTCCCTGAATTCACCACTATTGGTATATGCAAAATATCTCCCTGCTCCCAACAACTCGCCCGTGCATCGTTTCTGGACGTGGTGGTGAGGATGCGCGAAGCGAAGAATCTGGACATGCCCATACCCTCATCAACACAATAACGGTTCCAGAAATAACGCAGCCACGGGGCACGACCCGCCACCGTGCCCTCGAAGCATGAGTTGGAGCGTCCTCAGGTCCTTGCTCAATCCCCTGGAGCCGCCATCCTCAATCTCGGGGGCGGCCAAGAGGGGGGCGTCCAAGAGGGGGGGCGCAAACCATGGCTGGCGGCATGTGCGCGGCCCAGGGGGGGACCGGGGACGTATTGAAACAAGAAGAGGCGCCATGAAATCTGGTATCCCCCCCCCTAGTCATCACCCCTCTCTTTGCCGACCTGGACAATCCTGGTGACTCCTTTAAGGAGCCGGGGGGCCGAAAGTCCCAAACCTCTTCCGAAGCGCGTCGCGTGGCTCCCGGAGGCCCGTCGCGTGCCGGACCGTGTTGTCGCATGACGTCTTGCGGGCCAAAGCGGGCCCCAAGAGCAGCGATGAGGTCCGCAGGAGGCCCCCACAGCGAGCCAAGAGGGCCCCGAGTCGCCGCACGATCGGTTCAAGACGCCTCAGGTGGCCCCAGGACGGCCCAAGCAGCCTTCCGAGGCGCCGCGCCCCAAGAGCCTACCCCAGAGGGCCCCGAGAGGCCGCAGTCACTGATTCCCATTTTCTGTTGTTCTTGATATGTTTGGGGTCCTCGATGTTTCACGCTTTCGACGCGCCAAGATGGCCCACGAGCCCCCCGGCCCCAAAGGGGGCCCCTCGAGGGGCCCACGAGGGGAACACGAACCGAAAATCCAAGCCTTCAGCCCCAAGGGGCGCTCAGGAGGCCCCAAGAGAGGTCCCCAGGAGGCCCCAAGAGGCCCCCAGGAGGCGTCGCGAGGCCCCCACGAGGCCCCCACGAGGCCCCCCAACAGGCCCCAGAAGAGGTCCCCCAGGCAGACCCCCCCGAGGCCTTACAACCTGCCTCCCGGGAGGCCCCCGAGAGGCCTGGAGGAGAGCCCACAAGCCGGGCACGGTGGCGGGAGGGGCCGAGAGCCATCCGATCCGCCGCCCCCTGTCTTGCCACGGGGGTGCCTGGCGTGCTGGATGTGTGGAGGCTGTTGGTTCTTTTGGCCCCCCCCCCTGCTCGCCAGCGCTCGGACGTCCATTCCTCGTGTAGTTTTCGGTTTCGTGCGTGGCCTTTTCGCCAAACGATCAAGGATGCTCCTCGATGGTCCTCGCCGAAGGAAACATGCACAAGTCCGAGCGATGCCAAGATGTGTGGAGGCTTTTGGCTCTTTTAGAACCCCCCCTGGGGCTGCGGCCGTGGCCGCTGGCCACCGGGAAGGCTACGTTCGAGGTGCCTGCAAATGCTGTTCACGGCCTGGATGGGTCCAAGATGGCCCAAGTCTGCCTCCAAAGCGGCCAAGACGGCTCTCAAGTTCGCTCAGGATGGTCCAGGAGGGCCTCCAAGAGGGCCCACGAAGAATCCAAGATGTCTCCAAGTCCGCCCAATAAGCCTCCAAGACGGCCCAAGACAGCCCAAGAGGCCTCCAAGACGGCTCCAGATGCCGCCAAAAGTTGCTTCAGGAGGGCCAGGGTAAGCAAGTATCATTGATTGTCTTTAGGTTGTAGATGAATTTCCCAAGAGGCTCCCAAGATCGCCCTCAGAGCTCCCAAGAGGCCTCCAAGATGACCCAAAATGCTTCCAAGACGGCCCCCGACGGGCACGAAGACGGCCCAAGAGGCCTCCAAGACGGCCAAGATGGCATTCAAGACGACCCTGAAGTGCCCCAACAGAGCCCCAAGACGGCCCAGAGAGGCTCCCAAAGGCGGCTTCCGACGGGCCAGGAACGCTGTAAGACGGCCAAACAACCTCCCAAGGAGCCCCCAAAGGCCCCCAGGAGGCCAAAGGAGGCCCCAAGAGGCGCCCAAGAGGCCTCCGAAATGCTCAAAGAGGTCTCCTCATCCTTCTCCCCCATCCTCCTCTTCCTCCCCCCGCGCGTTCCCCGAACGGCCTCCACGACGGCTGGGGCAGCGCATGGTCAAACAGCGTGACCAAACGTTTCGCACACGTTTGGCCCACATGTGCGTATCCTAAAAAAACAGGGGGCGGCGGTGATTCGCTGTAGGCGTATTCGAAAACCGACACCCACGGTTCTG